AACAGCCACTGCTGCTTGCTGCCCTTTAAGTTATTGGAGCCATTTGGTGAACTGGAGAAGTACAGTAACAATGATATGCAACCAGCAGAAATGCTCATCCAAGTGCAGCTTACTAGGAAAAGAAAGATTTCATGTATGAATTGGCTTGGAAGTTGGCTTGGAAACATCATTATCAAGTAGTTCCCACAATTCTCAGTGCACATAACCTATCACAAAACAAAAAAGGCCCTAAAACTGCACACTTCACTTTCTACTTGAGGGACACGAGAGCACCTCAATATAACACTAAATACTGTCTACCTTAAAAATGCAAAATGGGTGATCATTTGTGAAAACAATGTACAACTGTTGATTTCTGGGCAGTATGATCAACTTACAATGCTGTCACTTAAGTTGCTGAATTATAAATATCTCAGTGTAAATATGTACTAACCTCTGCAGAAAGGTCTTCTGCATTCATTACACCTAGATGCAATAAACAGTCAATAAATCTCACTACTGAGCTATCAAGACAGAAAAAAGTTACTACAAGATTAGGCACATCAGTTTTAGCACACTGATCTAGAAGAAAAAGTACTTTTAACTGCAGAAAATTACTGAAGACAGTAAAAATGTCTTTGCAGTCTAAGTTTTTTTCTTTAAAAACAAATCAACAATAAACGCATCGACTGCTAATGTGAGTCTTTTCAGTGAAAAAGTCCTTCACTTAGAAAAAGGTAAAAAATACTGTAAAAGGACTAAAGATTTAATTCCTTGCTATCACAACTAAAAGGCAATTGTAGACTTTGGTGGTGCTACTGTCCTTTGTGCATCTCGAAGGTACTGTGCACGCCCCATGCAGAGAGAAAGTCAAATGCTCTCTGCTTTTACTCTGATGAAGTACACCCAGGCAAGGAAAGCTGAAGACTTGACATCTCAGGGTAGCAATCTCTTTTGACACAGTTACCTTTAGAGGGGCTATTGTTTTCTGTAAGACGTGAAGGGAAACAGGTGGAAACATCCCATCAGTCAATTCACTGGAATACACAGCAGTTCTTATTTCACATTAGTCTACTGGTACATTTGGAAAACATTTTTACATGTAGATGTTATGCAAAGTCTTCTAAAACTCCTTGCGAAATTATCATTGAACATAATAATAAAAAATATCACAGATCCTAATTCCTCTCTTTATTTTCTTTTGCTGTTGTTGATAATCTCTTGCTCTTTTCTCCTAGATTCTCAACTTCACATCTTTCTAGCATGTATATAGCTTCCTTCTGACGATCCACAAACAGCCCTTTAAATTAACAAATTGAGACTTTGGTGAAAGAAAATGCAGCAAAGCCAAAATGAATATATAAACCCACTGTACTAAGGGGAGGGGGAGAATTTTAGGTCTTAAATTTTTAAATACACACCGTCATGCCGTAACAACTCTGCTGCGGGTGTGTTAGTTGCCCTATGTCAGAAATTATATCAATAACCCCATGACTACATGTAGGCCATTTGCTTCACATGCATATACTACAGAGGGATTTGCTCACATCTTCACATCAACCCACTCATTTAGGAGGAAATTTTCATTTTTACCATGAAAAGCTTATAAAAATAACAGTCGTTTTCCTAATTTATATTTGGGGGCTTTAAACAAATGTTAAGGCATCAACACAGCTAAAATAGGAATTAATACCTAATTATTCACTGCAAAGTTGAATAAACCTTTCCACCAGGAGTTACACTGCCAGTTAAATTAAACAGAATATGCACTGTGCGAGAAAAAAAAAATTACCAACATCTTAAAAGGAACTTCCTCTTACACAACATCACAGCTGTGTGCACTCACATAGTAGGAATACCATTTTGACTTTTCCCTTAGAAGACACTGTGAAACCTAAGCTATTCACAGAATCAAAACGTTTTTCCCCCAGCCTAAAAAACTGACACTCTTCAGCCTAACAACCAGTAAGAGAAATAGGAAATTGGTCCACTACATCTGCTCGTCAGGATTCAAGAATATCTACTAGAACCATCCACTGTGTTAAGGTGCATAATTAACACAGAGAAGGCACAGAACAAATAATAGTCTTATTTCATATACTTGTAAGGTATCTTCAAAAATACATATATACAGTTATGCCAGAATTTGTTGACAATTCAGTAATGTATCTTTTGCTATCTTAGTTCCCTAGAAGCATGCTATTATTGGAATGCTGAATAGCTTTAAAAGAAACACTGGCAGAGCTTCTCCCCACCTGCCAAACGTCTGTATGCATTGCAAGACAGATATCAGCATTCACCTCCTTGAGAACGCTAGGTAAATCCTACCAGCCACTTAAATGCCGCTCCGGAAAACAGCGTAAGCATTCTTTTTTTTCAGAATTGCTCCTTACTTTTCACCTTTCAAATTTCTCAAATAATGACAACTCAGCACACGTATCCATCTCAGTTTCTGCATCAGTGAGATGAACTCATTCTAAGGGTGACAGCAGCCCTGTACTCCAGTCATCAGGATCATTAACACCTCTCACCTTAGAAGAGGTCTAAGAAGTTGGGTGCAGTGCTAAGTATCTGTAAGTAAAGGTTTTTGCATTAATAAGAGTCTACTTGACCACCTACTTGAGCGAATTGTTTTCTTAAAAGTTGCTACAGAAAAAAAACCATGTCAGTGCCAACTTTGTCTGTATTCAACACGCGCTGATGAAAAATTATTGTGTGCCGTAACTACCTCTACTGTCTTCATTTTTATCACTGTTTATTTCCTCAGTCTGCATACAATGCAGTGATGTCACTCTTAGGAACCATTACTTGTGGTGGTCCTGTTCCCCCCCCCAGAATGTAATGGGTAGACCTAATAGCCTTGGAGCTGCCCTGGCATTGACCCCAAAGAGGTAGACCTGTTGTCCCATCGACATCGATAGGAATCGGGAGAACAAACCCACGCGGAGGGAACACCTGGCACCTGTCAATCAAGGGAACAGCCGAGAATACGCCGGAACCATTGCGGGCTTGCTGGAAACATCATGTGATAATAGATGACTACACCCCCAGTTTGACCATGACTATATACAGGCGGCCGCAAACATCTGGGCTTTGAGACTGCCTGAATGGAAGCAGCCGGCCTGTGAAAGCAACGTGACAAACCGTGACATTACTATAGCTGAGTAGCTGATTGATTTGGCAATCAGGATTTTAAAACCTTTATATTGATTTAGCAACATAAGGTACTTTTAATCAGTTTAAAGAGCATCCATACAAGGTGGTTGCCTCAATCTAACCGGATCAGTTGCTAAAGTGATCAGTTAAATGGATGCACCTTTGTGTGTACAGAAGGCATGACCTGAAATGCACATCTTGCTCATCAGAGAAGAAATAGAGTTCCCACGAGAACGATATTTTTCATTTCTAACAGTTTTATGCCTAAATGTACATCCTCTCTGGGTCTCAGGTTTCATGTACTTCTAGGGCTGCCATGTTTACTTCCAGAATTTTACAGACAGCAATACGTGAGTTGGTGCTGTATGTTTTTTCTAATAGCTTGAGGAAGCAGTAGACCTACTGCACATAGATTGCACAGATGACTGGTATGCGCAACATAAGTTTGGAAACCGACAGATTTATCAGGCTTACCATACTACATATAAACTTAAAAGGAGGTTCAAAATTTCAGCACCTGTACTTCCACTGCAAAAGTGTTCAGAACTTCCTCTGCAGCCTAGATAAAAGTCCTAAAAAAATCCTTTTGGACAAAATATCAGAGTACGGAAATAAAACACATGGGGGAAATTTTAGATACATTCCAACCCTACCATAGAACAAAGTTTCATAATTCTCTCATTGGTAAACAGTGCCATAGTGCTATGAACTACCGATGATTTTGACCTAACAATCCCAATAGGGTAGGAGTAAGAGTAGGATTGTAGATTATCAAATACACTTACATATATGGCTATTAGAAATTTTCCTAGACTGTAAGGGGACCTACATTGAACTCGTTTCCAGATATTGCAAGCAGGCCCTTGCCTACATCACTCTGTTGCCCACTTATACTTCCCAAGCAGCAGTCTGATACTTGGATAACAAGGCTTCTTTGCAATTTTTTTGATTCGTGTATTGCCAGCATTGACAAAATAAAATTTGTATCATGTCAGGATTGAAGGAAGTAGATTCTTAATGGTTATTAACTCAGGATTTGTCTCTTAGGTCTCTTCAAGAGATCAGCCAAAAGAACATTGTTTCATTCTCCAGCTTGCTTCCCATCAAATTACTATTAAACTATTCATAAATTACTACACAGTTGTTTCACATTCTTGCAATACTAATTTTAGCAGTTTCAAGGAGCTTAGCTAAGATACTAGCTTTTGTGTTTAAGAAATGCATGTGAGAGGCAGTAAAATATACAGTACGGATTAATAAAATTAAAATCCAAGAAGTTTTCTCTTTCTTATATAAACTCTAAAGATTCAGCAGTCCTTCTGGAACTTAGCAACATCTGAGTACCATCAGTTCCTAGCATCTCTATCCCTTTGAATATGTGAAAATGTAATTCATAGAATTAAAAAAAATTTACAATTTTATTCTGAGGAAAACAGTATAAGCATAATTCCATGTAAATATTCAGCCCTACCTGTTTAAAAACAAACAAACAAAAAAAAGCACTCAGTATTCATTAAGTTAGCCCATTCAAGTAAATATAATTGAGAGATGAGCATTCACTTTTCCAAAATGTACCATGAAAATGAATAGAGTGAAGAGAGGGCAGACGTTCTGCATATTCATTCCCTTATGCTGCACCAGGAACATTAAAATCACATGAATTATTTTGTCAAACTGCTTAGGAAGTTCATAGCTGGTATTAAAATAGACATTTATCTCAAACTTAGTATGAGCTATGCTACTTTATTCTCTTTAAATCTTAATTAGTGTACTTAAAATGTAAGTTAGGTTATCAAATGTAGTTAATCATATCTCAGGGTGGGATTTTTTGTTTGTTTGTTTGTTTTAACTTTACATCAACTTACATTCTGCTGCTTGGTATAATCTTGTGCCCATCTCTAAACCATGTCACTTGTGGTCTTGGATAGCTGAATATATGCAGGAAGTTTAGAACTGCAGCTTGTCCTTCAGTCACTGTTTCTCGCTGGTTTGTGTCCATAAAATTTCCCATATCTGCAAAGAAAAATTATACTAAGAGTCACAGAAGTTCTTGTATCTCGCCCTCTTTCTTCTCAGGGGTCAGAGAAAGAAATAACTGTTTTACAACAGTCATTAGCATTGCTATAATTAGGCAATATGACACAACAGATCATGAAACAGCGCTGATTAACACAGATTTGGGTGAGCAGTAAGGCATAAGGCAGAGTCAAGTGCTGCTAGCGCACACAAGAAGTGCATCAATCAGCAACACTGCATAGTCTTAGTGATCTTTTGCAATATTTGAGTCTGTTTTTAACTGAAAGCGACATTTTGATAGGGAACTTTTTTAAATATATCCTTGTACCACATAAAAGAGCTTATTGTGTGATGCAAAGGAATGCAAATGGTATATATCATTTTATCAATTTTTTTAATCATGATATTTTTCCTTCTATCTATAGTTACACACATAGACAAAGCAGCTGCATCACTTACAGTCAAGCCAGTCTACAGTCCGATCTATGCAAGCAGGTCATAAAGGCCAAATGGATATTAAAATAACAAGGCTAAAGTTATGTCGGTATCTATTAGTTCTTCTATGATGTAAATAGTGCATCTGGATCTTTGACATTTACAAAGGCATCAGTAGTATTACACAGTAGGTTTTAATAAGTATTTTAATGGAAGAAAGAAACCTCTACAATGGCAGAACCTCTGCCTCTGAAGAAGTGTTCATTTCATAGACAAGTTCATATGTCTATGGAGTCTTTGTTAAAAATTCAGTAAATGCTTTTCTCTTGTTTTTCTTCTGCCTTTTGTATCTTATTTCTATTCATTAAAATAAACAAGTAGGAGCCTACAGCCCTATTCACTCTCCAAAGAGCTTGTATGCATTTTAATTTGCTTTAAACTGAGAAGCTGACACACAGAGAACTCTTCTGGTTTCCTCCATTGAATTCTTCTTTTGTTTGTTTGTTTGTTTGTTTAGGTTTTTTTTTTGTTTGGTTGGTTTTTCTTAGGACCACACGAATCCTCACAAGTTCTCTAGAGCAGAAAGGGATGCAAGGGAGATAGATGCATACAAGTCTACTATCAGGTCTGTGGATGGAAGGAGATAAGAAGAGACAGAACAAGAGAAGGAATTAAAAACACATGGTAGTTTAAAGAGGCTTTAATCATCTTTGTGATTTTCAAGTTATTTATTCAGACATAATCAGCACTGTACTTCCTTTGTTGCTCCATATTTCTCACAACTGTAATCGGATCACCTACTTGAAAAGAAGTTTCAAACCGTGTAGGTGGATCTAATTAACTTCACTGTCATATCATTATTCTAGTCTTCACAATCCAAGAATTTTTAAGCCAATTCTGTAATTAAGATTTACTCAGTAGTTTTCTTATAAATATCTGTTCCTATTCAGTTAAGTAATACTTTAGCATGGGTTGAGAACATTTTTTAAATTATTTAACAAGTTTGCTGCTGCTTCAGAGATCTAGGACATGGTAAATACCTCAGATCTTTCTCAATGCACATTATACTTGTGACTTTTGTATTTTCACTACATATCTTAAGTTTTTTAAAGTTTATTAGGAAACATTTTATATCTAGTGGAACAAAGTACCCATATAGTACCTAATGTATAGTTCCCTGTAACTCTGAAGGACTGGACAAGATGACCTAAACCCTTTGAATTCTGTTTTCCGATATATTTTTTAAGAATACAAAAGTAAATTATGGTAAAATATGAGGTACTTCATTATGCCCATATAGCTTAACACAATTTATTTAGATAGAAAAATGTTAAAATATAGAAAATAATCATAGTAGCAATAGTTATCCCAGATAGAAGAGAAGGAGGATTCTTAAAACTCATAGCACATTTCCATCTGTGGGGAAAACAGGGCAAGTCTGAGTGCTAAGTTTCACTATAGGAACCATACAGGTCACTGTAGGACCAAGACCAAGAAGAATCTGCCGTCTCATAAGATCTTCTTTACTTTGTCTCAATATCTTTATCAGTGAAAATAAATTTAAAAAAAAATTCTTAATTCAGACAGAGAAGTCTCAACAAACAGTTCTTCAGCCTTGTTCAGCCATGTAAACGTACAATTTAAACAGGAAAAAATTAAAAAACAAAGAAAAGGAAAAAATTATAATTCTTTCTTTCTCAAGAACAGCCAAACACTCAAAAGAAAAATCATGGAAAAACAGAGTGCTTTACTGCAAATCTTTCCCTCATGCAGAAGGGAAAAAGGCTGTCTTTTCAGGAGACAAAATCCCTTAGCAGTGTTATCAAGGTAAAGTATTCCTGTGTCGCCTCCTTACTAAGATTCCCGCAAGTACTTCCTCAGAAATTGTGCCCTCCACTGTGCCAGTACAACTGCATGCATAGCAGCGTAGGGAATCTTACTGGGGGTAACAAACTATTTTACCAAACCCTACAAAATAACTGTTGCTTTTCAAAAGCTGTTGGATGAGTTTCCCAGTCCACAGCTGCATGCACAACTTCTCCTGCTCAGCCTAAAGGGATAGTGTGCCACACTGCAATACAAGAGTGGGAACACTTGGTGAGAAGGAGAAGAAAATGGTTATATGTCACTCCGGTACTGCTGCCAAACCATTTGTCCCCTGAAACCACACCTGTAGATACAACTTCAGAGGCATCTAGGCTGATCCACTGGCTCACTACTGCAGAAAACGCAACGTCTCACCCTCACCTTGCCCTATCCTTCCTGCTCCCATCTTCCCCTTCTGACCTTGTTAGACATCCACCCTCCCCTTCACAGCTGTGCACCCTTGCACCAGCTTCCAGTTCCTTCTCGCTGGCTTGGTATAATTGACTAAAATAGAAGAAAAATATTCAGAAAAATATCTCTGATGGTCTGACGCACATCAGAGCAAGCACAAGATCAGTAGGAGGAGTCCACAGCAAAGGCATAACGGGTGGGGGAAGGCAGGGGGGGGAGAGGCGGGAAAGCTCTAAATTCCCCGCCTTTTTG